TTGCTATTTTTAATAAAAGATGGAAAGAATTTAATGTTGATATATATATGCTAGCATTTTTTCTTCATCCTAAATATTGAGATAAAATATTAAAACTTCATTTATTTTATTAAATACTTTAATTATATTAATTAATTATTTATTTATTTAGCATCTAGTTTTTAACTAATAATTTTTAAAAAAGTATCAAAAACTGCAATAAATCTATGGAAAATCAAGGTGGTAGAAGATTAAGTGCTAATATTTTACTTACTCAACTTGGTTTATATTGAAATTGTGATTATTTTTTTGATGATCTATATGTTGAAGGTATTAATACTCCTACAAATTGGTGAACATCAATAGAATTAAAGAAAGAAGAAGATCATATTAAAAAGCTTATACTTTAAATGCATGCAATTATTCCTCATAATGCAACATGTGAGCGTATATTTTCAATCTTAGAATGGTATCTTAGCAAACGGTATACTAGGTAATTTAACAAAATTTATATTATTATAATTTTAATTATTATTACTTAAATTACTTAATTTATTTTAGAATTAAAATAGAATGACTTCAAGTAATAGTACAAATGCATTTATATCTTATAATAAATGCAAAATCAGAATTAAAGTTTTTAAATGAAGATATTTCTTTAGAAACTTTTAATAAAACTTTTGATCAAATTGCATCAGCAATGGCAAATAGAAGTAATTTATTTGAAGATAATGAAAAATTTGAAACAAATTTTATTTTTGAACATGATGAAATTGAAGATATAGAAGAATTAAATAATAATAATTTAGAAATCATTGATTATATTGATTTATTAGTAAGTATATTAAATGCAGATAATATTAATTTTAATAAACAAGAAGAAAAAATCAGAATTAATCATGAAGATTTAGATTTTGATGTTGATAAAATGGTAAAAAATTTAAAATCTTAATTTTAGTAATAAAATAATAGTTTTAAAAAAATTAAGATTATTAATAAATATTATAATAAATATAAATATTAAGTTTACATAATCATTATTTTTTTTTATTTGATTTATTATAACTTTATTAAATTTATTTATTTTATAATATAAATTTAATTAACTAAATTTAGTTTTAATACTAATTAATTACAAATATTTGTAGGTATTATAAATGATAAATTTAAATAATACTAACATTAGAATTTGAAATTTAGAATTTGGGATTATGGGATTTGGGATTAGAATTTGGGATTGGGATTATGGGATTTGGGTGAGATTTGGGATTGGGTTGGGATAGGATGGGATAAGATTTTAAAAGAAAGGATATGAGTATTAATTATATGTAAGCATCTTCTCTTGTAAGTTTGTTGAGTTCTCTATAATTGATATATAATCTTTTTTTTCTATTTGCTTTCTTTACAAGAATTGTGGGTGATACTTATAGACTATCAGATACTTGAATAATTCCTTCATATAGCATCTTCTTAATTTTTCTATTGATAAATTTTTATTCTTCCTTTATCATTCGATAATAATTTCTCCTAATTGTGTTAGCATTTCTTATATCAATTTTATGTCAAGTAACATTAGTTCTTCCAACTCTAGTTAATTGTCCAGTTTCAGAGATGTTAGTGATGAATCTGTCTTTATTTTCTTTCATCAGAATGTTAATTTCCTTTTGTTATTTTGGAATCATAATTTCCTCTTTTACAATTTCTGCTTTTATAGTTTTTGCAAGACTATTAGGTAAGTTATTCCATATAATTCGATCCAATATTTCATTAATAAATATTGTATGAGTTAGGGTATTTTTTCCCTGCTTAGCTATTTCTTCATATTTCAGAAAGCTAATATGAATCTAAGGTCCATTTTTATATTTTTCTGTTTGCTTTAGCTTAGTTTCTTTAGGAATTTTTATTGCGTATACATTGCAATTGAATTCTGGATCATTGAATAGATATTCTAAATCTTCTTCCTTGACTTTTATTCCAGTTTCTTCTTCATTTTCTTGTACTACTACTTTCATTAGATTTTCATTCCCTTCCACTTTTCCTTCAGGAGATTGCCATATTCTATACATAACTTCTCCTTTTTTGATTGAGAGAAATATACCATCTTTATCATACAAGATATTGAATACATATTTGGGATGTTTAACTTCCTCTTCATATGTTTCTACTTTGTTAGCTCAAGATTGAATCGAATTTTTCTCTCAAGCTTAATTCTAAAGGTCAGTATCTTCTTCTTGTTCTTTATCTTGATGATGTAGCTGTCTGTTTCTTTTTCGTCATCATATTCTAATTCTTGTTTGATTATTTCATCAAGTTCATCCTCAATAATTACAGCTTGAATTCTTTTTCTAACTACACATTATACTGGAACTATAGCTTTATCCAATCCAAAGGTAAGAATCATTCATTATTTTAAAGTCAATATTAACTTTATTTTTCTTATACTAGTCAATTTCTAGCAATAAGGTTTGATTAGTAAAATTAATAACTTGAAAAGTTTTTTAATAAGAATTTCTTAAATAATTAATGATACATTTTTAATTATTTCTAATCCTCTTTCTCTCTATTCATTTGTAGTAACAATGATTATTTGTAAAGGTTTATTGATATCTAGTCCAAGTTTCTTCATCAATTTGTGCATTATAATGCTTACTGCAGCTCCTGTATCAATAATAGCAGTTACAAGATTTTTCTTAATTTTAGCATGATATCTCAATGCCATAGTTCATTTTTCTTCTTCTGGAGTACTGGTAAATGCTGAATTTTCTTCTAATTTAGGTCTTCTCGTTCCTTGAAGGAGTTTTTATTGCTGCAATCTAAATTGCATCATTTGTCTCATATTAATATTAGCTTTAATATTTATAAGATCGTTCTAAATATTATAAGATTCAATATTATCCAAAAGTAATGATCCTCTAGGTATTCTCTTCTTAGGCTTAGTAGTATTATCTACCACTATTTAAAGTATCTATTCAGTTATCTCTATTTGTTCATTAATTGTCTGAGATCAAATTTGTCTGGTATTAGTTTTTTTTTGTGATTCAGTTCTTTTTCTCCTAATCATTGGGAAGACTTCTTGTTCAAGCATATTTATTTCCTTTTTGTTTTAGTTATCATTTCTTATTCTCTAGTTCTTTTAGAGTAAAACTTTTTCTAAAAGACATCATCTGGCTATATGACCTTTTTCTTCACATTTTGAAACAGATTAATTCTTTCTTTAGTTTGCCTTCAGGATTGTAACTTTTTTTTTTAGCTAGATTAGTAGTTAATTTAGCCATAATGTTTACTTGATTCAAAGCCATTTTTTCAAATTATTTAGACAGTTTTTCAATGTTATCTTCAACTTTTGGCTTGCTAAAAAATCATGTTCTATTGCATAATATCTCCTAGCTTCAATGGTTTTAGCTTGAATAATAGTAGTATTTAAATCAGCTGGATTTTGAATTACGACTAAGGTTGCTAATTCCTTATTTAATCCATTCAAAATATTCACACTTTAAAGGCATTTGGAATTCCTTCTGCATCTACTCTATTTGCTAACTTCTTAAATTTAGATGCATAGGTTTCAACCTTTTCGTTTTCTTATTTCAGGTTCATTAATTCATATTGTTATCTATGTAATTTTCTTGTGATGAAAGCATGCTAAGAATCTTTCTTTAAATTCTATATTTGCATCTTCATCCTATCTGTTAATTGTATTACTTACTAGATTGTACTAGTCAGCTGCTTCTTCCCTTAACATTCCTATTGCAATTGCTACTCTTCTATTATTTGGCCATCCATTAGCTTTTTTTACTCTTAAGAACATTTCAATTCATTTTTAAGCATCTTTACTATCTTTTCTATAGAAAGAATCGAGTTTTACAATAGAACTTCCTGCTGCAGGTGATGCTGAGATATTAATACTATTAAATCCATTGGTCATACTGGTTATAATTTGTGTTATCAATGCATTAAGTTAGTCTGCTATCATAGCTATATTTACAGGATTTGGTAAAGAATTTTCTCTATAATTAAAGTAATTGGTGTTATGTAAAGTGATAAGAATATGTTGATATATTACTTCTAGTTTAAAGTAATATGTAAATATAAGGTTAAATACTAAAGATATTGCTGCTTTTGCTACTTGTTCAGTGTCAAGACTATAAGGATTATTAATATCAAAATACTGTCTTATTTCTTTAAAATATTATTCACTTAGAGATGAATATGTATATGCATGATATTATTGGTAAATCTACTAATAAAATCTTTGAAATTAAATGCTTGGGTTTTCAGATGGTCGATGACAAATTCTACAAGACTTATCAAAAGATTTTATAAAGTGTATATGTCCTAAATATTTGAAGTGATCGACTGAGTATTATTTTCTTATTTTATTATATAGGTCACAATTCATATACTAGTAGAAATCTCTAAGTTAACTTAATAAGTTTCTTCTGATTTCTAATAGATTATTCCTATTTTTATGTAAATCGAATAAGTAATCATTAAGAGCTTTTAATCCTTTCTTGACTTCTTGTTTGACTAAATAAATTATATCAAGTAGTAATTTACTTCTTTTATGAATAACTAAATCCTTTAATTCATTCTTTAACATCAGAATAGATATAAATATAGCTAAGATATTCAGTAAAAGTATTCAACTGTTGTTGTAATTCTCTAGTTACTAGAAGGATTTTAATGTCAATTTCTTTCAAGTAGTTATTGTATTATTGATATTCTTTTCTAATCTTAATAGTTCTTGAATACTCATGTAAATTGTACTAAATTATTGTTTTTATTTCTTATAAGGAACACCAAAATGTTATGTTGAGTTTCGTAGCTCAAATAAAATCTCAAAGGGGGTAAATAAAACTAAGACAATTACTCAAGAAATTGTGAGTGAGGATTCACAATAATATCAATAAATTATTCTTAATATAAAACACGTGAAATAAACATAAAATAAATATAAAGATAATTCAAAAATATTTCAAAGATTATGTTTTAAAGACTCTAAGTCAATATAGTGAATCAATACAATATTATATAACAAGTTCAATAATAAAAGAGATTGCACGAATGCAAAGAGTCACAGATAGTGTTTCACAAAATCAGATCAAATTAAATTCAATTTTCATTTTTTAGAATCTGAATTCGATCTGAATCTGATAGATCCATTGAAATTCAGATCTGATCTAAATCTGATAGATTGAATCTTAAATTCAGATCTGATGGATTAGTTTAAATCTAAATCTAATCTGATTCAAATCTGAAAGTTTTATTGAAAAATAAATTTTTAGTCTAAAAGAGATCTGAAAATGGTTCTTTTCAATGAAAGGAACTTTTTAGTTCTAAAAGAGTTCTAAAAAGTCATTCATCTTCAATGAAAGAAACCTTTTTAGCTTTAAAAGAGTTTTGAAAAGTCATTCCTTTTTAATAAAGAACTTTTTCAGCTCTAAAAGAGTTCTGAAAAGTCATTTTTTTTAATAAAGAAACATTTTCAGCTCTAAAAGAATTCTGAAAAGTCGTTCTTTTTCAATGAAAAGAACCTTTTCAGCTTTAAAAGTGTTCTAAAAAGTCATTACTCTTCAATGAAAAGAACCTTTTCAGCTTTAAAAGAGTTTTAAAAAGTCATTCCTTTTTAATGAAAGAAACCTTTTCAGCTCTAAAATAGTTCTAAAAAGTCATTTTTTTTCAATAAAAGAAATCTTTTCAGCTTTAAAAGAGTTTTGAAAAGTCATTTCTTTTATTGAAAGGAATCTTTTCAGCTCTAAGAGTTCTGAAAAGTCATTCTTTTTCATTAAAAGGAATCTTTTCAGCTCTAAAAGAGTTCTGAAAAGTCATTTCTTTTCAATAAAAGGAACTTTTCAGCTCTAAATAAGGTCTAAAAATTCATTTCTTTTTAATAAAAGGAACTTTTCAGTTCTAAAGAGTCTGAAAATTTGTTTCTTTTCAATAAAAAGAACTTTT